GAAGGCCCCAATGGCACCTTTGACATGCGTCCCCGCCGCACATTTCGGCACACCCCTCGCACGTTTCGTGGCCTCATAGGGAGCTCCACCGAGGGTCCCCGGTGGCATAGTTTACATGCGTCCGCGCTACCCATTTCGGCACACCCCTCGCACGTTTCGTGGCCCCATTGGGAGCTCCACCGAAATCACCAGTGGTACAGTTTCCATGCGCCCCCGCCAGCCATTAAGCCACAGTCCTCAACGTGGCCCCAAAGGGAGCTCCACCGAAGGCCCCAGTGGTACAATCTACATGCGTTCCCGCCACCCCTTACGGCACACACCTCACGCGGTTCGTGGCCCCATAGGGAGCTCCACCGAAGGCACCAGCGGTGACGTTCTCATGCGTCACCGCCACCCATTTTGTCACACCCCTCACACGGAGCTCCACCGAAGGCCTCCCTGGCAAAGTTTGCATGCGTCCCCGCCGCCCATCTTGGCACACCCCTCACACGGTTCGCGGCCCCATCGGGAGTTCCACCGAAGGCCCCAAGGTGTGTGGCCACATGCGTCCCCGCCACCCAATGTCGGCACACTCTCAACACGGTTCGTGGCCCGAGCTCCACCGAAGGTGCCAGAGGGTGCGCCCACATGCGTGCCAGGAATTGGTTTCGGCACACCATTCACACGGTTCGTGGCCCCATAGGGAGCACCACCGAACGTCCACAGGGTGTGTGTCCACATGCGTCCTTGCTACTCATTTCGGTTCACCTCTCACGCAGTTCGTGGTCCCATAGGGAGCCCCATCGAAGGCCCCAGTGGCACAGTTTATATTGGTCCCCGCCACCAATTTCGGCACACCCCTCACACGTCTCGTGGCCCGACAGGGAGCTCAACCAATAGCCCCAGTGGTACAGGTTACATGCACCCCCGCCACCCATTACGGCACACCCCTCACGCGGTCCGTGGCCCCATAGGGAACTCCACCGAGGGCACCAGTGGTTGCAGTTTACATGCGTCCCCGCCACCCATTTCCGCACACTCCTCACGCGGTTTGTGGCCCTACAGGGAGCTCCACCGAAGGCTTTAATTGCACAGTTTACTTGCGTCCCTCCCCGCCGCCCAGTATGGCACGCCCCTCATGCGGTTCGTGGCCCCACCGGGAGCTCCACCGAATGCACCACTGGCGCGGTTTACATGCGTCCCCGCCCACCCATTACGGCACACCCCTCGCGCGGTTCGTGGCCCCGCAGGAGCTCCACCGAAGGCACCAGTGGTACAGGTTACACGCGCCCCCGCCATTTGTTACGGAGATCCCCTCACGCGTTTCGTGGCCGCATAGGGAGGCCCACCGAAGGCCCCAATGGCACACTGTGCTTGCGCCACCGCCACCTATTTCGCACTCCCCCCGGATGTTTCTTGGCTTCATAGGGAGCTCCACCGAAGGCCCTGCGGGAGGTGTCCCGTACGCGCCGACTGGGACACGTACGCAATTCCACAGGCGCACCCTCTGGGACGTGCTTTCGGCACGCACCCATTGGGACACGTGTGCACGTGCCTCGCGCCCTCTGGGACGTGCTTCGTTCTCACCCACGGGGACTCGTACGTAGCTGTACACGCGCACCCCCTAGGACGTGCCTTCGGCACGGGCCCACTGGGACACGCATGTGCGTGCGCGCGCCTTCGGGGACGTGCCTTGCACGTACCCGCTGAAACACGTACGCAAGTCTACACGCGCACCCTACGGGACGTACCTTCGGCTCGCACCAATTGTTTTTCCTAACCATCCTGTGGTGTCGGGCCCTCGTTTTGAAGAGACAGCGCCCCGCGTTCCTTCCTTCGTTTCTCTCCTCACCCTCCCTCATCCCATCGCCATCATCAACGCCATTGCCATCATCGCCACCCATTTTGGCACACCCTTCCCGAGTTTCGTGGCCCCACAAGGAGGTCCACCTAAGGCTCCAGTGGCGACGTTCCCATGCGTCCCCGCCACCCATTTTGGTACACAACTGACACTGTTCGTGGCCCCAGAAGGAGGTCCACCTAAGGTCCCGGTGGCGACGTTCCCATGCGTCCCCGCCGCCCATTTTGGCACATCCCTAACGCGGTTCGTGGCCCAATAGGGAGCTCAACCGAAGGCCACAATTGTACTGTTTACATGCGTCCTGCCATTCATTTTGGCACATCCGTCGCTCGGTTCGTGGCCCCATAGGGAGCACCCACCTACTGCCCGTTCCCATGCGCCTCCGCCGCCCATTTAGGCACACCCCTCACGCGGCTCGTGGCCCCATAGGGAGCTCCACCAACGGCCCCAATGGCGACGTTCCCATGCGTCCCCGGCACCCATTTTGGCACATCCGTCGCGCGGTTCGTAGCTCCATAGGGAACTCCACCAAAGAACCCAGTGGCGACGTTCCCATGCGTCCCCGCCACCCGGTTCGTGACCCCATAAAGAGCCCCACCTAAGGCCCCAATGGCGACGTTCCCATGCGTCTCCGCGACCCATTTTGGCACACGTTTCGCGCGGTTCGTGGTCTCATAGGGAGGTCCACCGAAAACTCTAGCTGCGACCGTCCCATGCGTCCCCGCCGCGCATTTTGGCACACCTCTCACGCGGTTCGTGGCCTAATAGGGAGCTCCACCGCAGGCCCCAATTGCGAGGTTCACATGCATCCCCGCCACCCGTTTCGGCACACTCCTCACTCGGCTCGTAGCCCCATGTGGAGCTTCACCAAAGACCCCAATGGCGACGTTTCCATGCGTCCCCGCCACCCATTTCCAGCACCCCCACGCGGTTCGTGGCCACATAGGGGGCTCCACCTACGGCCCTGTTCCCATACGTCCCCGCCACCCATTTTGGCACACCCCTGACACCGTTCGTGGACCCATAGGGAGGTCCACCTAAGGCTTCAGTGGCGACGTTCCCATGCGCCCCCGCTTCCCATTTTGGCACGCCCTTCGCACGGTTCGTGGCCCCATGGGGAACTACACGTAAAGCTCCAGTGGCGATGTTCCCATGCGTCCCTGCCACCAATTTCTGCACGCCCATCACACAGTTCGTAGCCCCATGAGGAGCTCCACCGAAGGCCCCAGTGGCGACGTTCCCATGCGTCCCCGCCACCCATTTTCGGCACGCCCCCGGCGCGCTTCGTGGCCCCATGGAACGCCACCGAAGACGATATCCACAATTGCGGTCTTCACATCTGCGAATGGTTGGGTCCATCGCCAGGCGAACTTGGCTTTGGAAAGATGTTGGTTGGCCTTCGGGGGGGGTCCTTTGGAGGCTCCGTGGCTACGTGGAATCGTCACTGGGCGGCGTCATGAGACAACAGTGAGACAACAACTGTAACAGCATGGTGCTATTGCTTCGTGGTCGGTCCATACCCAGGCATTTTGAGTTTTTTCCCAACCATCCTGTTGTTGGGTTCTCGTTTTGAAGAGACAATCCCCGCGTTCCTCCCCTCCTCCTGTCCTCTCCGCTCCTCCTCCCCCACTCCTCTCCGCTCCCAGCCGTGCTTCTGCCCTCCGCATGTCCACGTCGCTGCCGTCAACATTATCATCGCCCAACGCTGCGTTTCGTGGACCCAGAGGGAACTCCACCGAAGGTCCCAGTGGCGCAGTTCGCATGCGGGACCCTCACCCAGTACAGCGTTCCGTGGCCACAGAAGGGGGCTCCACCGAAGGCTCCAGTGGCGCAGTTCGCATGCGTTCCCCCGCAAAGTACAACGTTTCGTGGCCCCATAGGGAGCTCCACCGAAGGTTCCAGTGGCGCAGTTCGAATGCGTCTCCCCCGCCTGGTACATCGTTTCGTGGTCCCAAAGGGAGCTCCACCGAAGGCTCCAGTGGCGCAGTTCGCATGCGTCTCCCCTACCCAGTACAGCGTTTCGTGGCCCCATAGGGAGCTCCACCGAAGGCCCAGTGGTGCAAGTCGCATGCGTTTCCTCCAACCCAGTACAACGTTCGGTGGCCCCAGGGAGAGCTCCACCGAAGGTCCCAGTGGCGCAGTTCGTACCCGTCTCCCCCACCCAGTGCAATGTTTCGTGGCCCCAGAGGGAACTCCACCGAAGGTCCCAGTGGGGCAGTTCGTACGCGTCTCCCCCACCCAGTGCAATGTTTCCTGGTCCCAGTGGCGCAGTTCGCGTGCGTCTCCACCGCCCCAGTACAAAGTTTCGTGGCTCCACCGAGGGTCCCAGTGGCGCAGTTCGCGTGCGTCTCCCCCGCCCAGTACAGCGTTTCGTGGCCCCAGCGGGAGCTCCACCAAAGGTCCCAGTGGCGCAGTTCGCGTGCGTCTCCCCCGCCCGCTGCAGCGCTTCGTGGCCCCAGACGGACCTCCACCGAAGGTCCCAGTGGCGCAGTTCGCATGCGTCTTGCCGACCCAGCACAGCGCTTCGTTGCCAAATCGGGGAAATGCACCAGCGGCCGCAGTGCCGCAGTTCGCATGCGTCTCCCCCACCCAGCACAGCGTTTCGTGGCCCCATAGGGAGCTCCACCGAAGGTCCCAGTGGCGCAATTCGCGTGCGTCTCCCCCGCTTAGTGCAGCGTTTCGTGGCCCTATGGGGAGATCCACCGACGGCCCCATTGGCTCAGTTCGTAGACGTCTCCCCCACCCAGTACAGCGTTTCTTGGCCCCATAGGGAGCTCCACCGAAGGTCCCAGGGGCGCAGTTCGCATGCGTCTTGCCTACTCAGTGCAGCGCTTCGTTGCCTCATGGGGACATTCACTAACGGCCCCAGTGGTGCAGTTCGTATGCGTCGCCGCCACCCAGTACCTGGCAAAATTCGCCTTCGTCTCTCCCACCCCGGACAGCGTTTCGAGGCCCATCGGGAGCTCAACGGAAGACGATACCCACCACTGCCGTACTCGCAACTGCAAATGGTTGGGTTCTTTGCGATGCTGAGTTTTTCCCAACCACCCTGTGGTGTTGGGTCCTGGTTTTGAAGAGACAGCGCCCCGCGTTCTCCTTCCTCCTTCCGTCCTCCTCCCCTCCTCCCATTCCTGCTCCCATTTTGGCTCAAGGCGCGGCTCGGCTGGATAGTTTTTTTTCCTTCATTATTCCCCTGCTCCCCATTGCGTTACTGGTTGTGCACCTTGCGGCCTCCGCCTTGCCACGTACGATCATCCAGGAATTGCACGGCCTGTTGATGCGAGAGGTGGCGCATGAGGTCGGGCATCATTTTGACGGGCTCGATCAAGCAGCACGCGCGCTACATCAGCGAAAGCTTCTGTCCCCTGGATTGGTTAAGGAACTGGTTCGACTCGACAATTCGTGCAATGTTCCCCGCCACATGTAGACAGTCAAAGCCACGGCCTTCTTCCACGCCATCATGAACGACATCCGCAGCCGGTGTGATTCGGCGCCGGACGGGTCAGATCCAGTGCTGCCCTCGCAGGCGCAACTGCTTCCTCGCGTTCCTCCTTTCCCGATCCTCCAGGAAACCGCGGCTGCGTACCCGGAAAGGGCATGGCGCTTCTTTCGATGATTTAGACCAAAGCGACGACAGCGACTACGAGCGCATTTTTTCCCTGAGTTGGAGCTGGCCAACCAGGACGCCGGCGTCGGGGAGAAGGACGTGGATGACCAGGAGGTCGCCACCATCACGACGAAGGTCGCCGACTTCGATGAGGCCCTCGACGCAATCCAGGCCAAGTTGGAAAGGCTCGAGGCCCAAATGGACGGGTCCACAGACGTCGTGTGCGTCTCCGACGGCGAGGGCTTGGACGGCGGCTTCTTCTTCAACCACCAGGGTTGGCCCACCGCAGCGGAAGCGTACTCGGCGTCGTGCCCCGTTGGCCCGGGAGGGTTCCTTGCATTGGCAGGTGTGGAGGCCGTCGAGGACACCGTCCCAGAGGCTGACGAGGTGAATTCTAGTGAGACTGGCACCCCTGCTGCAAGTGTTCTTCCGGAGCCTGCTACCAATGGCCTCCTTGGGTCTGCCCTTGCTGGGGATGCTGCGCCGGCCGAGTCTAGCCTGCCGGAGAAGAAGCGCTAGCAGAAGAAGGCAAACAATAAACATGAGAATGAGGACGTGGAGGAGGAGCCGGAGATCGAGGCGAACGCTCCGCCGACTGAGCAGGAGATAAGGGGTATCATTACGGACGTGAGCTCCAGGATGAACGACCCGCTGTCCCAGGCCAGCGCATGCGAGGCACAGGATCGACGCCGCGATCTCTGAGGCTTGTCCGACCTTCTGTGTTCTCTCTCGCTCGCCCGTCTTCCTCCCCCCGTTTCCCCCTCCTCCTCCTCCTGTTGCGGGTGAGGAAAAACCGCGGCTCAAAAGCAATCGTTTCTTGCTGACGTTTTCCCGTGTTTTGGTCATGCTCGCTGTGTTTGCTTGCTTCTTCTTTCGGTGTGTGGCTCGTCGCTGGCCCACATACTGTGGGATGTCGCCCCCCACAATGGTGAAAAAGAATTTGTCTCCGATAGCCGCACCCCGTTTTTCTCGATCGGACCTTCTCTGACCTCTTCTTGTTGTAGTGTTGATCCTCCTCATCCTTCTCCCCCTCCTCTCCTCATCTCCCTCCTCACACATTTCGTGGCTTCATAGGGAGCTCCACCGAATATTCCACTGGCGGAGTTCGCATGCGTCGCCCCCACCTAGTACAGTGTTTCGTGGTCCTCCACCGAAGGTCCAATTGGCGCAGTTCGCTCGCGTCTCCCCCGCCAAGTACAACGTCTCGTGGCCCCATGGTAAGCTCCACAGAAGATCCCAGTGGCGCAATTCGCATGCGTCTCCCCCACCCAGTACAGCGTTTCGTGGCCCCATGGGGAGCTCCACCGAAGGCCCCAGTGGCGCAAATCGCATGCGTCTCCCCAACCCAGTGTACCGTTTTGTGGCCCTATAGTGAGTTCCACTGAATGTCCCAGTGGCGCAGTTCGCATGCGTCTCCCCAACCCAACACGGCGCTCCATTGCCCCATCGGGAAATTCCACCGAAGGTCCCGCTGGCGCAATTCGCATGCGTCTCCTCCACCCCGTACAGCGCTTCGTGGCCCCAGCGGGAGCCCCACCGAAGGTCCCAGTGACGCAGTTCCCGTGCGTTTCCCCCGCCCAGTACAACGTCTGGTGGCTCCATAGGGAGCTCCACCGAAAAAAGGTCCCAGTGGCGCAGTTCGCCTGCGTCTCCCCCGCCCAGTACAGCGTTTCGTGGCCCCAGACGGACCTCCACCGAAGGTCCCAGTGGCGCAGTTCGCATGTGTGTCCCTCTTCCAGTACAGCGTTTCGTGGCCCCATAGGGAGCTCCACCGAAGGCAGCAGTGGCGCAGTTCGAATGCGTTTACCCCACCCACTGCAGAGTTTCGTGGCCCCAAAAAGAGTTCCACCGAAGGTTTCAGTGGCGCAGTTCGCATGCGTGTCTCCCACCCACTACAGCGTTTCGAGGCCCCATGGGGAGCTCCACCGCAGGTTCCAGGGCGCAGTTCGCATGCGTCTCCCCCGCTCAGGACAACGTTTCGTGGCCCCAGAGGGAGCTCCACCGAAGGTCCCAGTGGCGCAGCTCGCGTGCGCCATGCCCACCCAGTACAGAGCTTGATATGGCCCCTGAGGGACCTCCACCGAAGGTCCCGCTGGCGCACTTCGCGCGCGGCTCCCCCGCCCGGTGCAACGTTTCGTGGCCCCAGAGGGGCCTCCACCGAAGGCCTCAGTGGCGCAGAACGCATGCGTCCCCCCCACCCAGTACAAAGTTTCGTGGCGTCTGAGGGAGCTCCACTGGAGGTCTCAGTGGCGCAGTTCGCATGTGTCTTGCCCACCCAGCTCAGCGTTTCGTGGCCCCACAGGGAGCTCCACCGAAACAGGTGCGCAGTTCGCATGCGCCCCCCCCGCCCAGTGCAGCACTTCGTGGCCCCAAATGAAGTTCCACCGAAAACTCCCCGTGGCAAAGTTCGCCTGCGTCTCCCCCACCCAGTACAACGTTTCGCGGCCAATGGGGATTTTCACGGAAAACGATATCGACAATTGCGGTACCCACAATTGCATGTGGTTGGGTTGTTCGCCACGCTAATATCCCAACCAACCTGTTGTTGGGTCCTCGTTTTGAAGAGACAGTCCCCGCGTTCATCTCCTCTTCCTCTCCTCTCCGCCTCCTCCCTCCTCCCGTCCCTGCTTCTGGCCTCCGCATGTCCTCGTCGTTGTCGTCGTCATCATCACCCAGCACTTCGTTTCATTGCCCCATAGGGAGTTCCACCGAAGGTCCCGCTGGCGCAGTTCGCAGGCGGCCTCCCCGCCCAGTGCACCATTTCGTGGCCGCAGAGGGAGCCCCACCGAGGGTTTCAGTGGCGCAGTTTGTCTCCCCTACCCAGTACAGCGTGTCGTAGTCCCATACGGAATTCCACTTAAGGTTTCGGTGGTGCAGTTCGCATGGGTCTTTCCCCCACCCAATACAACGTTTCGTGGCCTCAGAGGTAACTCCACCGAAGGTCCCCGTGGCGCAGTTCGTATGCGACTCCCCGCGTCCAGCACCGTCGTGGCCCCATCTGGAAGCTCCACCGAAGGTTCCAGTGGCGCAGTTCGCATGCGTCTTGCCCAACCAGTACAGCGTTTCGTGCCCCAGAGGGAGCTCCACCGAAGGTCCCAGTGGCGCAGTTCGCGTGCGTCTTGCCCACCCAGTACAGCGCTTCATGGCCCCAGAGTGAGCTCCACCGAAGGTCCCAGTGGCGCAGTTCGCATGCGTCTCCCCCACCCAATACAGCGCTTCGTGGCCCCAGACGGACCTCCACCGAAGGTCCCACTTGCGCAGTTCGCATGCGTCTCTCTGCCCCGCCCCGTACAGCGTTTCGGGACCCCATAGGGAGCTCCACCGAAAAAGGTCCCAGTGGCGCAGTTCGCATGCGTCTCCCCCACCCAGTGCAGCGCCTCGTGGCCGCATACGAAGCTCCACTGAAGGCCCCAATAGCGCAGTTCGCACGCGTCCCCTCCTCCCAGTGCAGCGCTTCGTGGCCCCAGAGGGACCTCCACTGAAGGCCTCAGTGGCGCAGAACGCATGCGTCGCCTCCCCCGCAGTACAGCCGTTCGTGGCCCCAGAGGGACCTCCACATAATGTCGCAGTGGCGCAGTTCGCATGCGTCCCCCCCACCGAGTGCAGCGCCTCGTGGCCCCATGGGGACCTCCACCGCAGGTCCCAGGTGCGCAGTTCGCATACATCTCCCCGCCCGGTGCAGCGTGTCGTGGCCCCAGTGGGAACTCCACCGAAGGTCCCAGCAAGTCGTATGCGTCTCCCCCACCCAGTGTAATGTTTCTTGGCCCCATCAGGGAGCTCCACCGCAGGTCCCACTGGCGCAGTTCGCGCGTCTCCCCCGCCCAGTACAACGTTTCGTGGACCCATACAAAGGGGGCTCCACCGAAGGTCCCAGTGGCGCAGTTCGCATGCGCCTCCCCCGCCCAGTACAGCATTTCGTGGCCTCAAAAGGGAGTTCCACCGAAGGTCCCAGTGGCGCAGTTCGCGTGCGTTTCCCCCACCCGGTACAGCGTTTCGTGGCACAATAGTGAGCTCCACCGAAGGCCCCAGCAGTTCCCATGCGTCTCCCCCGCCCAGTACAGCGTTTCGTGGCCCATAGGGAGCTCCACTGAAGACGATACCCACAAGTGCGGTACTCACAATTGAATATGGGTGGGTTCTTCGCCAGACTAATTTCTCGATGCGTGGGGACTCTCGACCTCATGTCAAGTTCTGATCTTCCCGCGTCGTATTTGACGGTCGTGGGGCATGATCTTGGCCTCTGAAACCGGGGCCCATTTCGATCGGTTTGATGTCATATCGATTTCGGCCAGCCGGGCCCGATTCGATTCTGACATTCCGACGATCCGATGTGGCCTGATGCTCGTACGGCGCGGTTGTGTATCTTGGCGCGGCCGATTCCATCCAATTCCGATACCAATGAGGGCCGATCTGATCCGATTTCCCGAATCGACGGTCATTGATCCTGCGACAGAAAGGCCGCCTCGATCTTTTCGACGCGCCATATCTTTGGTCAATCCAGCCCTCCGCGGGCTCTGCCCCACCGTCGCAGGCGGTCACGATGGCACTCTGCGGGCCTGGGCAGCAGCCCGGAAGAAGGCTGCCACGGCGGTGCCTTGCGGGAGCGTTTTCGTCGGCCACACGTACTGTACGAGTGACCCTTCGCCAGAGTGACTTTTGCTGCGCGGCTTTCGGGGGGCGTGGGGAGCGGTGGGCCGGGGGCGAACCCAAGCACGTGGGCCGCTACAGTCGCATCGTATGCAAAGGTCGGCAGTCGTGAACCGAAGGTCACTCTTGCCCAGGTCACTCTTGCGTCTAGCCGACTTCGGAGGCTGGAGGAGGATCAGGCAGTGCTAAAGTGCCGCAGGCGATGTCTTGCCTACAATCTCAGATCTTCCCCCGGATACACCCCTTGGGGGCTATTCGGACGCACCTCCATCGAGGATGGACGCCCACCCATTATATATCCGAGGTGGGCGTCATACGCTTTGGTCCAGCCGAAAGTGCCACGAAGGCAGGGATTCAGGTCGCCATATGTTTGGTGAAGAGGGGAATCACAACCAGGGGGTCGCCAGCTCTTGCTGAGGATCGGGGATCAGGGAAACAGCTTTTCCTCGAGGAGCTCTGTGAGCTCTTGGACGGTCTGGGGGGGGGGTCCACAGGTCCTGAGGGTTCCCCTCCCAGAAGAGCTGACGACCACCCTGGTGGTGACGCCTTTCGGCATTGGTTGGGTTGAGCTGCAGGCGGGGGGTCTCCCACCCCCGTCTCCTGTCCCACCCCCCTCTTCCCTCGCCTCCTCCAACCCCATCGCCTCCCCCCCTTCTGTACCCCGTTCCCCCCTCGCCTTCCGCCCAATCGTCTCCCCAGTCCCCCTCTGCCCTTTCGTCTCCCTCTTCCCATCTGTCCTCTCCTCGCCTTCTCCCGACCCCTCTCACCTCACGTTCTCCTCCCCTCCTCTCGCTCCGGCCTCCTCGCTTCGCCCCTCTCCCGCTTCCTCCTCGTCTGCCCTGCCCGTCACCGTCCCCTGGCAGGGGTTTGGAGAACATGTTGAGATCGCCACGGGAGGGGTGAGATCCCAGCAGGACGAAATCGATCCGACTCGTGCAGGCCCCCTGGACGGGTCAGATCCCAACCGACAACCAAGCACCCCACACCCCAACACCAAGCACACAGCACCGCATAGCACAACTCACAAAACTCAGCGCACAACACTCAACATCAAACGCCGAACACCAACCACTAAACACCGAACAACACCAAACACTGAACGCCAAACACTCAACGCACAATACCAAACCTACAGCACTAAGCACCAAAGGTGGCTGCTGCAGCGCGAGACCCTCTGACTCGCGTCTGCCGCGTCCAGACATCGCCAGGTCGCGAAAGTCTGTACAGGGATCTCCCCGCTCGTGCTTGCGTTGGCGGGTAAACCGTTGCATTCCCGGTTCCTGCCCTCGCGAACACAGCCATGGATGCTCGGGCTGCCGCAACTGCGGTCGCGATCATGGGCGACGTGGAGTTGGGCGTCGGCACCGACTCCAGCGCTGACGCAAGCAGCAGCTTCGACGCCAGCACAGGTGCCAGCACCGCCGCCAACACCGACGCCAGCAGCACCGATGATGGCACCGAGGCCAGCAACATGCCGTCACCGCCCCCAGCACCGACTCCAGCTCCGACGGGAGCGGCACCGACGTCGGCGCCGATTTTGCCTCCGACGCCAGCAGAATGGATGTTGGCACCTTGAAGCTGAACTCGGGCTACTCATCATCGCTGCGGACGGTCTCCGTGATGGTGCCGGCGGACTTCGAGCCGATGAAGGGGGACTCTTTGGCTTTGGAGCCACGACATCATCAATGCCAGCCGATTTCAACCATCGTGGCAGCACCAACTCAAGCGACAACGCCACGCAAGTACACAGCATCCCCGCGACCTTCACGGAGCGCGCGGTTCAGATGCCCCGCGATCTATCCAGATCTTCGTGCGGAAGCTCATGCTGGAAACCATTTCGCTCGATGTGGGGGCGTCCGCCGCGATCAAGCACGGGAAGGCTCTGATCAAGGGTACCGTTGGTATCCTCCCTCACCAACAAACCTGCTCTTCGCAGGGCGCCAGTTGGAGGACAGTCATACGTTGGCAGACTACCGCGTCGGTCCCGAGGCGGTGCTGCAGGTCACACTCCGTCCCCGGGGGGTTGGCCCCATCATTCTTCCCACGGGGGCACCAGAGCCGGAAGCAGCGTCACCCTTGTAAGGTGGATCCTCAGAGTTGGCCTCATGACTGTGGCCAGTTGGCGTCGCCACGGATGGATCGTCTGCGCCGCTGCCGCTCTGGCTACCAGCCCCAGGGGGCGAACCACCTGGCTCGCCCAGGAGGCGAGGCACCTCCAGGTAAGCGCCTCCATGCTGGAGAGGGAGGCCGTCGATACGGACGCGAACGACGCTGAAGATGCTTCGAGTGCGTCTCCCCTTCAAGCGGGCTTCGTCGACCAGGCGGTCGTCGGCGGGCGGAAGGAGGGGTCCACAGAGACCGTCCGCGCGAACTTCGACTACGTTAATGCCCTGGTGGCTACACAACCTGAAGGGGCAGACCAGTCCGCATTGCGCCTTCAGTAGGAGATCAGGCATTCAACTCTTGGCCCGACCTTGCCTCCTACCTGCAGGAAGTTGGGGTTGACGTCACTTCTCCGTCCTCGTCCTGCTGGCGTCTTCTTGGCATGGATCCGAAGGCTGGCGCGTGCCCGGCTGTGGAGGATATCCAGGATAGGGCACGCAGGGCGCGCATGGTTTTTCTTCGTCGGCAGCCTGCTTGTCTGCGGCTGCGGCCGCGGAGGGGACCATCGAGGACGCGCGGCTTGAGTGTGTTCGTCAGCTTCCAACTTCTGTTCGTGAGCACCGCCGCCGTAGTGGGTAGTCGGAGCCTCTTGATCTGGAGCCTCCGACGATGGTGGAGCAGTGGTTTGGCACAGTGATTAGCCGTTCACGGCAATGGGCATCAGCACTCTGGCTCTGGGATGTCTGTGCTTCGGGGTTCCTTGGTCTGGAGAGCCGCCTGGGAGTCCGACAGGCTTGTCAGCTTATGCAGGAGATGGCCACGACCAAGGAGCGCGCCGTGGCCTCGTTGGACGCTGTCAGCGCCACTGTGGTGTTGATGTGGGCCCCCTTCGAGTCGGCGCACCTCAACCGCTTTCGGGGCAACATCGAGCATATTCTTCTGAGCGATCGTAACGTCGAGTTCCTTGCCGTCTGTGAGCGCGAGCCGCTTCCCGATTCTGGTGAAGCCTGCATGCTAGATGATTTATAGCGCCACCCACGCCTCAACGGACGTTTTTGGCATCTTGCTGCCGGTGCGGTTCACTTGCAGGAACCGATGCTCATCGCGACCTCGCTGAACGGCTCGGCGGCCACCGTCAACAAGGCCTTCTCCGTCTTCCGCCCGGCCCAGGATAGGGTCCCCGCCCCTGCGAAGGTGATTCCTTGGCGCCCTGCGATATGTGCGGGGCAGATTTCCCACGTGATCTGGGTGGACGCCGAGGCCTCGCGTGGTCTTCAACTGCGGTGATCTCTGGCACAGCCTTTGCACCAGGACCGTCTTCAATGGGAAGGGCCTTTCCGTAGCCTGTGTTCTGCTCCGCATGGCCGCCGGGTTCTAATCAAGGTCTACGCTGAACGCGCCAGATTCTCGGAGTTGGGCGCGCCCTTCCTCGTCAGGCATCTTCGCAGCAGCCCCGTGCTCTCGGATGCCGCCGTCGGCACTCAGGCTCTCCAGGCGGATCCAGGGGTGCTTCTCTTGGAGCTTCCGTCGGCGCGAGTCCTGCCGCACCTCCGTGACCTGCACGACGACGTCATCATCGTCTCCCCCTCCTTCGCCGTCGTGCACACCAAGGCGTCGGCAGCGGACTGGCAAGACAGGCTCATGAAGATGCTGCAGGACGACCCGGACACGGCGGGCGTGCAGCTCCGATCCAGGCGTTCGTCGAGTGGCGGGCGCCCTCGGGCTCGCGCGCGCGCTCGACACAGTTCTGTCGGGGTTGGCGGCAGACCGTCGCATACGCAGGGCGGACTGCGGAGATGCGCCTCCATGTGGGCAGGTACGTCTATCCGGGCCTCTGAGCGCCGCGCCTCTCGCGCTGCTTGCCCGCATGATGGGCACGATTGCACGGAGGATGGGCTTTACATGGCCCCAGCGCGCCGCACTCTGAGGAGCTGAACCCGTGGTCGTGGTCATACCAGCTGTCGGGAATGGGCGAGCCCACGGGCACAGTGACCTTTGCCTGGGCGACCTGGGGGACATCCGCCGGCTGCACAGCACCATACAGGGGGACATCATGGATGTTAACGGTGCCCGCTCGCCGATCCAGGTGCTCAGCTCCGACCTCGTGGCTGGGACCTTTCGCGCCCAGCGAGAGTCGCGGGTGTTAGCCCAGGCCTGGGCCTCCCAGCTCACGGAGGAGGCGCCGCGAGCAAGTCCTTCTTCGGTGGGGGGACCCTGGTTTGACTTCGAGCTCTGCTGGTACTCGGGTCTCCTCGCCTATCGCCACCCGTCTTCGAGGGAGGTCTCCTTCCTCGACGACCGCCCCACCACCGCCGCCAGCTTCTTCAGCATGTCCTCTGGGTAGCAGAGCGACTTCAGCATTCGGTCAACGACCCTTCAGTTGGAACTTATCGATCTGCATCTTCATGTAATTGTTGTTTCCTCCACACGTCCTTTCCCAAGTTCGGCATGTCCTTCGACATCTCGGGTGTCGCCGGTCGCTCATTGCCTGGCTCGTTTGTTTCGGCAGAAGGCGTTGTGCAGGTTCGCTGTGCTGATTTGCTCTCTCTCTCTCTCTCTATCTCTTTCCCTCACTCCTTGCCTTCTCCGCCTCCTTCTCCCTTCTCCCCCTTCGTTGCGGCGTTTTTGTGCGGCGTATTGTCCACGACAGTTGCTCAATCAGTTGGCCAGGGCATTCTGGTTGGCTGGACCGCTCAATTTGGTGCTCTCTCGCCTGCGCGGCGAGTTGCAGGGAAGTCCACAACGTGCGCGGGTTGAGTTTGGCTGCCACTCACGCTCTGGAGTGAGATGCTTTTGGGGCGCAGCCTAATACTTCCGCGGTTGATGGAGCGCTCTGCTGTTGGAGCTCGCGGGGATAGCCCCCACGAGGGGCAGCGGTCTTGGCAGTGGTCGTTCATCGGCTGTCATTCGGCGCCACCATCGGCCCCGCTGGGGGAAAATCTTTTCCAACACCAATCATCAAAGACCACACACCAAACACCAACCACACAGCACCAACACCACACACATAGCACCAAACACCACACACACAACGTACCAAACACTAAGCACCAATCGTAGTCTTCCCCGACTTCTTCTCGCTTTCATCTTGCGGTGTTGCGAATGACGTCGCCCCTCCACGTTTTGCGAATGACATCGCGCGTGACGTTCCAAGCCTGTCAATCCGAAGTCACGGTGGCGAGCGCACAGTGATGGTGCATGTATGGGGGGAGGAGGAGGAGGAGGAGGAGGAGGAGGAGGAGGAGGAGGAGGAGAAGCAGGAGGAGCAGCAGCAGGAATAATAGTAATCAGGATAACAGTAAGAAGAATAGTACTACGACTAATAACATTACCGATGTATGGTAAACGTATACATGAAATTGCTGTTATTCATGTAAGGGAGAAGAGTAATGAGAATACGAGTAATACGAATACAATGAAACATAAGAGTACCAGCATGATAAAATTCATATTGACGATAGTATTACTAATACGAACACTAAGAATACTACTGATACGGATGCTAAGAATAATATTCTTCATAGCGTCAATACGAATAATAATATCCGTAATATAGAGTACTATCATTACTTCTAATACTGGTGGTTTTTTTTAGAACGAATGCTAGTAGTGATGCTAACATGAATATTTCTTCAACGCTAGGACGAATGAAACTAGCCATATTATTTGAACCATACGTCATAATGCGACGAATGCGACTAATATGAGTAATAATGCTAAGAAGAATAATACGACTGAAAACAACAATAAGAAAAACACTCGTACACGTAATGCCAATAACCAATAGTGCTAGTAAGAAGAATCGGAATTCACATCATACTACGACTAATCATAATATTATTCATACAATCAATAATAACAGTAAATCTAGTACACACCATCATTCTATTGTTAATCCTAATTCGAAGAAGAACAGTCAGATGCGGAGGATGATGATGACGATGATGAGGATGGAGGAGGATGACGAGGGGGAGAGGGAAAGTGGAAAAATATAGGGGGCGAAGGAGGAGGGGGACATGGGTGGGGGGCAAGGAGGGTGGGGAAAAGAATGACGAGGAGGTGGAGGAACAAAAGGAGGAAGAGGAGACCCGCTCGCTTCCCAGGCGAGGTTGCGCGACCCTTGCAGCATGGTTCCCCGGCTTGCCGTGCCGGGCCACCGCGCGGGCCACCTCATGTCGTGAAGGTCGCCCTGAAGGAAATGGGTCCTAGGGGGTAGCGGGCCCTCAAGGTTTTGCAGTTTTTTCCCTACATAGGCTCTGCCTAGAAGGGTTCTTACTCTCTTAGCTTAAAGGGCCGGGCAGTGTAAATCGCCCCGGGCGGTTCCCCCAGTCCCCGCCCCGCGGTTCCCCCATTCCCCTGAGAGCATTAGCTTTCTTTTTAGCTTTAGCTTAGCTTTAGCTTAGCTGTAGCTTAGCTTCAGCTTAGCTTTAGCTTAGCTTTAGCTTAGCTTTAGCTTAGCTTCAGCTTAGCTTTAGCTTTAGCTTAGCTTTAGCTTAGCTTTAGCTTGGCTTTAGCTTAGCTTTAGCTTAGCTTTAGCTTAGCTTTAGCTTAGCTTTAGCTTAGCTTTAGCTTTAGCTTTAGCTCAGCTGTAGCTTAGCTTCAGCTTAGCTTTAGCTTAGCTTCAGCTTAGCTTCAGCTTAGCTTTAACTTAGCTTTAGCTTAGCTGTACCTTAGATGTACCTTAGCTTTAGCATAGCTTTAGCTTAGCCTTAGCTTGGCTTTAGCTTAGCTGCACCTTAGCTTTAGCTTAGCTTTAGCTTAGCTTTATCTTAGTTTTAGCTTAGCTTCAGCTCAGCCTTTACCGTAGCTTTAGCTTAGCTTTAGCTTAGCCTTTACCGTAGCTTTAGCTTAGCTTTAGCTTAGCTTTAGCTTATCTGCACCTTAGCTTTAGCTCAGGTTTAGCTTAGCGGTAGCTTAGCCTTAGCTTAGCCTTAGCTTAGCTTTAGCTTAGCTTCATCTTAGCTTTAGCTTACCTTGAGCTTAGCTTAGCTTAGCTTTAGCTTAGCTTTAGCTTAGCTTTAGTTTAGTTTTAACTTAGCTTTAGCTTTACTGTTCGTACTAATGCTGTTTTCCTAGGGGCTCCAACTCCTATGTAGGGTCGCACTGGGATAATTGGGTCTCCGGGGGCCCCTCCCAGGCCCGGGGGCCAACAGACAATTACTCAGGAGGAAGAGCTGGTCCTGGGGAAGGCCCCGGGGTCCAGGACCCGTTTCCCCCAGGACCTGTCTCTTTCACGCCAACAAAGAATCAATCTTGAAGTTCTTCTGTCTTGTTGCTTTTTTTTTTTTTCCTACCTAGACTCTGCCTAGAAGGGTTCTTACTCGCTTGGCTTAAAAGAGCCGGGCAGTGCAAACCGCCCCGGGCGGTTCCCCCAGTCCCCTGGGAGCCAAGCAAAAGCAACAGTAAAGGTAAAAGCAAACGCGCGGTTCCCCCAGTTGCGCTCCCTGGGTGCCAAGCAAAAGCAACAACAAAGGCAAAAGTGAAGGCAAACGCAAAGGCAATAACACAAACAAAGGCAATGCAAAACAAAAGCAAAACCAATGCGAAAGTGCTGATGTAGAAGTATATGTAGATGTAGGTGTAGGTGTAGATGTGGATGTAGGTGTAGATGCAGATGTAGATGTAGATGTAGGTGTAGATGTAGATGTAGACGTAGATGTAGATGTGAGTCTCGCTGTTGATGTAGATGTAGATGTAGATGTAGATGCAGGTGTAGATGTAGATGTAGCTGTAGGTGTAGATATAGATGTAGGTCTAGATGTAGATGTAGGTGTCGATGTAGATGTAGGTGTAGATATAGATGTAGATGTAAAGAACTCCCCAGTGCCCCGCCCTCATCTCCGTGCCTGCTTGCTTTTGCTGCTGTCTCGGCGACTTGCTGCCTGCTTCTGCTGCTGCTTCACTTACGGCGTGGCGTCGGCGGTTCTGGCGCTACTACTACTACTACTACTACTACTACTACTACTACTACTACTACTACTACTACTACTACTACTACTACTACTACTACTACTACTACTACTACTACTACTACTACTACTACTACTACTACTACTACTACTACTACTACTACTACTACTACTACTACTACTACTACTACTACTACTACTACTACTACTACTACTACTACTACTACTACTACTGCTACTACTGCTACTACTACCACTACTACCACCACTACTACTACTACTACTACTACTACTACTACTACTACTACTACTACTACTACTACTACTACTACTACTACTACTACTACTTCTACTACTACTACTACTACTACTACTACTACTGGCGGTCTCGTGCACCACATCACCAAGGCTCAACCACCTAAGGAAGAGCGTCCTTGTGGCTGCCTCCTTGCCAGTATACTCTTATGGGTGAAAGGGTGGGTCTGACGTGCTTGCAGCGTCAGGCGCTTGTCCGAGGGCAGCTGGTCCCAACGGCCCAAAGTGAAGCGCCAGCGGCGGTGCAGCAGCACACGGGGCGACCCCAGTACCGCCACCCAGGCCACCTAGCGCGAGAAGACGCGAGGAGAGGCCAGGATGGCAAGCCAAGGGCGGGTCTGACGTGCGTGCAGCGGCAGGCGCCTAGCCGAGGGCAGCTGGTCCCTACAGCTCAAAGTGAAGCGCAAGCGACGGCAAAGCAGCACACGGGGCGACCCCAGTACCGCCACCAAGGCCTACTAGCGCAAGAAGACGCGAGAGGAGGCCGAGATGGCAGGCCCAAGTGGCCAGGCGCCCGACGGCAACGCGGGAGTACACGGGGCGGCCCCAGCACCCCCAGCGAGGCCCACGAGCGCAAGTGGGCGTGAGAGGAGGCCAAGATGGCCAGCCAGTTGGCGGGCCAGAGTAGCAAGGCGCATGGGTGGCCATACGCCGCGCAAAGGCTAAGGCCACAGGCGCAGCCACGCGATGGGGGTGCCACTGTGGGCGCGCCCCCCTACTGAGCATGGCATGCTAGACATTTTGGCAGGAACTCACGTGGCCTGTCGAGGGCCTAGTGTTTGCAGGGCTTCATCATTCAGGCAGGCTGGCCCGCTCCCTGCGCAATGGCCGCGAAGACCTGCGACGGCAGCGCCTGCACTTCCCCACCGAGGTCACCGCTGCCGCCCGCCTGCCCTGAGGGCCCAAAGATCTGGCGCTCGAGGTCCTCACCGAGGGCCACGTTCAGGGCTGCAGCATTTGGGATCTGCTGCGGGAGCGGGTTCGTCTGCGGCGGCGGGCCCGTCGGCGGCGGCGGCTCAACTGGGGGAGCCGTCAGCGGCGGCGGCGGAGGGGGGGCCATGATGGCCGCGGTCGCTGGCGGGACCCCGACAGGCGGTGGTGGCGGGTCCTGGCTGCCGCGGGCCCCACCCGCTGGGGGGGCGCTGGCGGTGCGGACGGGGGTGGCACGCGGGGCGACCCCTGTACCACCCCCGCCGCCCGTGAGGCTGCCCTCCCGCAGGTTGTGGCGGCGCTCGTAGAGCGCCAGCTCCCTGTACGCCATCTCCAGGTGCTCCCTCTTGGCCTTGTTCCGCGCCTTCTTGCTGTATCCCACCCACTCTGGGTCGTTCAGCCCCCAAGCGACCTGCGCGTAGAGGTCGGACCACTTGAATTCGGCCATGCTCTCCCAGGTGAGCCCCTCCATTAACACATAGTGGCCCTCCCACTGCGGCTGGTGTGGAGCGTAACGCTTGACGACGGTGCCCACTGCCAGCGGCTCGATCTTGGGCAGGTACTTCAGGAGATCCACCGCGCTGAACACGGGTATCTCCTCCTTCTTGAGCTTGTCGTAGCGCAGCAGGGCCTTCAGGTCGCGGATGTCCTCCTCTGGGTGTCTACGACTACGACTACGACTACGACTACGACTACGACTACGACTACGACTACGACTACGAATACGACTACGACGACGACGACGACGACGACGAGGACGACGACGACGACGACGACGACGACGACGACGACGACGACGACGACGACGACGACGACGACGACGACGACGACGACGACGACGACGACGACGACGACGACGACGACGACGACGACGACGACGACGACGACGACGACGACGACGACGACGACGACGACGACGACGACGACGACGACGACGACGACGACTACTACTACTACCTACTACTACTTCTACTACTACTACTACTACTACTACGACTACTACTACTACTACTACTACACTACTACTACTACTACTACTACTACTACTACTACTACTACTACTACTACTACTACTACTAACTACTACTACTACTACTACTACTACTACTACTACTACTATACTACTACTACTACTACTACTACTACTACTACTACTACTACTTACTACAACTGCTACGACTGCTACTGCTGCTACTACTACTACTACTACTACTACTACGACTACTACTACTACTACTACTACTACTACTGCTACTGCTACTACTACTACTACTACTACTACTACTACTACTACTACTACTACTACTACTACGACTACTACTACGACTACGACTACGACTACGACTACGACTACGACTACCGCTACTGCTACTGCTACAACTACGACGATGAGGAGAAGGTGGAGGACGGCGTTTACCGCTCCTACTAATGTTGCTTTCCTAGAGGATCCAACTCCTAGGTCGGGTCGCATTGGGATGATTTTGTTTTGGGCGCTGGGGGGGGTTCTTTGTCGCCGCGGCCGGGTCCGCCTCGAGAGTTGGGCTGGAGTGTGCCTCAGGACAGGCCCAGAGGCCGTATTTTGACGCCATGCCCAAGGCGCCCTCGCGTCGCGAACGGCGCACCGTGTTTCTGCCTCTGCCTCTGCGGGTCCCTGCTTGGCCTGGTGGCTGTCGAGAACCGACTCAACATGAGAAGCCCTTCTCGGCGGAGGGGTTTGGGAGCTCTGTGGGTCTGCGCGTTGAGAAACAATGCGCGAGGTCGGAGGTCTGGTACTCGTACTCTGTCCCGCTCCTGAGGATCAGGCAACGCCAGGGGGGTCCCCACAAGGGTGATCGCAAGCTCCCTCTGAGGATCGAGGTCCGAGGCCCAGGATCGAGGATATTTTTCTGACCGATCTCGAGCTTTTCGGTCAGCTCGGTGGGGGTTGGCCCACCGCTGATATTAAACCGCTACCGCCGCTGATCCCATTTTTGGAGGTAGGAGCTTTCTGTTGGCGGATCCAACACAGAAGTTAAGATCACATATGCGTATTCGAACAGGAGTTGCACGCCATCGCCTTCAATTGCGTTTGGGCCGTGGACGCAGGTCAGGTCGACGTTGTCGCATGAGGAAGCGAGAGTAACAACGTGGTGTTGCAAACGGTAATTATACGGCAAATTGTACAGCAGATGTATTCAGTCTTATGTGGTCGCGTTCTACGTTGAGGCCCTTAGCCCCGGCTCCCGAGCCACCCGCTTGAGGGTGCAGACCCTTTCTGGATGTGAAGCTTTCGGCGCTGCGGGCACCGTGGTCGGGGCTCGCAGGCCATCGACGCCTGTGGGTTTTCTGGCCGCAGTAGTGGATATGGGTATTGGGAGGTTCTCCAGTCGTTTCTATCCATATCCACTGCTGGGTGCTTGGGTGGGGTCGCTTGTGAGAACTCGCGCTCTGGCCTGGCGTTCTGGCTCGTTGGGCGGGCAGCTCCCCAGATGGTCCGCGGCGTCGCGGGTGCGGGGCAGATGATATCGCGGCGCATCCATGGCAAAAAGATGCCGCTCGAAGGCTCTGCCGAAGTCGTCAGGCTCGGCGACTCTGAACAGCAGCGGTCGTGGTGTACTCAGGCACGTCACTGCGTTGCTGGGGACCCCCGATTGGAGTGTGAACGATGGGGCTCCTGCTCGGCCACGTCTTGCTGGCCCTGTGGCTCAACCGCTCTGGTCGTTTCCTATGCCATGGAGGCAATCCGTGCTGTTGCTCGGGGCGGGGGAAATCCCCGCCAGCACCAGATATGGTAATATGTAATATGTTGATGGTGGAGTTGGGGGTTTCCAGCGGGGCCTTCATCGAGGAGGTGGCGATGCTCCTGATGGTGATCCTCCTTGGCACGGTCTTGTCCTGGACAGAAGACGGGAACGAGCGAGCGAGCGAGCGTCCATCGGGGGCGAGCAGGCAGAGCCTCAATCTGGCCCTGCCGCGCACAGGGTGTCCGCCCACACAGCACGACGTTCAAGGTCGTGGCCCCTTTTGACGATGGGGGATGCAGGGTATCCGGGCCTCCCAGACGGGGTCGGGTCAGATTCGGGGCCCCAGAGACCAGGACATTGCAAACCAGGATTCTGAACATTCCATTTGTAGGGAACAAAGACACGAGAATGCTTTGACTCACGTGTACAGTCTGCGTTAATGTCCTGATTTATCAGAGTCCCTGTTTGCGGGGCCCTGATGGATGGGCCCGAGGATCGTGCTGCGTCACCGATGCGTCCGCGAAGGCCCGAGGAACCCTCCCAACTACCGGGTGACACGAGCAAGAGCTCCTCAATGCAAACGCCGCTCGGGAAACGAACATGTTGATGTTGATGTTGATGTTGTTGATGATGGTGATGCTGTTTGGTAATCTTTGATGATGATGTTGCTGAGGC